CCCCCCGAGGCCTCTGTTTGAACCTTTCCAAACTCTCCAGAAGTTTCTGGTACACTTTTGTTAAATGGTGGTCCCTAGGGGGCTCTAGGTCAGCAAGTCACCAATTTTCAGGGGTTCTCAGAGCCAGAGGACGTGCACAGGATTATGGGAGGTCTTTGGGACTGCAGTTTCCAGGGAGGCCAGCAGAGGGCAGGCTGGCCAGTACTAAACAGGACTGTGCTCCCAAGATGTCCACCCTGAGAAACAGCGGCAGAAAAAGAAGCCTCACTGCCTGCGGACACCTGAGTATGCTGGGGTTCGAGCCTGGACCCTGCTCTGACCCTCCTGTGGCTCAAGGAACCTAGGGAGCCCACTCTACAGTCAATGACCCACCTACCATACTCACCTGAGACAGGGGGCTTCTTGATTTCAAAGAGGACAGTGCCCGAGTCCATGTCCCGGATCTTGAACCTGACGAAGTCAATCTTGTAGATATTTTCCTCAGGGGAGCACAGGTAGTCTAGGGGAGACAGGCAGCTGAGCAAACAGGGACCCCAAAATGCCCACTGTCAGTTCAGTTTCTGTGGGACCCTAAAGCTCACTCTGATCCCTCTGGCCACTGCCCTCCAAAAAAGAAAACTGTGACCCTATCTGAGAGAAGTCCCCACACAGCAGGGGACAGGATTCTGTTATGAGGACACAGTCAGGGATTAACAGCCTCATCCTAGTGGCCTCACAGGCTCAGGCGAGGGAGGTCACCTCCACCATATCTTTCCTGGTTCCACCCTCTAGCTTGGGGACCCTTATTTCAACTTCCACTCTGCCAAATTGGCATGCATCCTTTGGACAACTAGGCCTCCTGTGTAGTAGAAGCTTCCAGCATGAAGGGGGGCCTCACTCCAAAGGGAGCATGCAGCTCTGCCCCTTGAGGGAAGGCTATTACGGTTCTTCCTTGAAGCGTGCCCCACCCTATTACACACCCTGCGGCATGGCATACAGATCCTGAGGGGATTTCCCCTTGCATGGGTCGTTTTGGGGACAGGTTGGTACCCCTTCCCTGTTCTCTTGGCCCTGGTTCCCACCCTACCCCCACCCCCCATAAGCAGCTTAAGGTGAGTCCAGGTCCCTTAAGCAGCTTATGGGATCTCTGCTGACTCAAGCTGGGAGCCCAGGCTACTGGGGGAGAAGAGACCGGCTTTGCCCAACAGATCCTCTGCTGATCTCCCAAGGGGAGGAAGTCTTAGCAAACAGAGGGAGCCCTCAGAGGTCATCTTTCCAGCCTTGGCCCAGAGCCACCGGCAGGGAGAAGGTACTCTCAGAGAAGAGCACAGGCCAAGCCAGGAAAGAGCATGGCCGGTGCAGCAGGGTATGGATGAGGCGAGGAAGAGAGTCCTGGGCTCAGAAGGAAACCAGGGGAACTGGGCACTGCCTAGGGAGTTCATGGTGTGACCCTAATCACTCTTCTGTTGTTGCTGGTTTTAAGTCAGGGTCTCATGCAGCCTGGGCTAACCTCCAACCCACTATGTGGCAGAGGCTGGCCTTGAACTCCTGCTCTTCCTGCTTCATGCAACTTACTGTTCTTACAGCAGCAACTGCAAGTCCTAGGGGAGGCCCTGGCAAGAAAATAGGAAGGAGCAGAAAAATGCCAGGGAGGCTTGGGGTGCTGTCAACCTTCAAAGTACCACATCCTCCCGCTGACCCACAGAGGCCCGGAAGTCACCCTCTGGGCCCCTGGGCCACCTCCTATTCCTCTGTGGTTGGAAGAGGAAGTGAATACAAAGTCATTCTCTCTTCCCTAGGTCTGTCTCCTCCCCAAGCCTGGGCCAGCCTCCTCCAGGAAGCCCTCCTGACAGCCCTCTAGCACCTTGGAGCTTGGCAGAAATGATATAAAATTTTAGAGAGGGTCCTGAGCCCTGGCCTGTCCACCACAGCTCAGTAAGCTCTGACACAAAGCTATAGAAAGGTGCTGCTGAGCAAAGGGGGGGGGGGAGCAGAAGTGGAAGCAGGATCCTAGTTGCCCAACTCCCAGGAAAAGCCTCCCTTCTCACCCTGTGCCCAGCCTGGGAACCTCTCCTCTCACTGGGAACAACTCACACCCAGACCTCAGGCTCTTACACTGCAAACTCAATCTGTCAGCCCCTCCGCCCTCCAGGGCGTGAGGGTCAGGGGCTGCCTAGGGCTCAGGACACTGCAGCCACTCCCTCCCCTCTGCCAAGTCAAATGAAGCCTAAGACCCAAGGTCAGGCCAGAATAATGGCTCAGAACCCAACTGCTCTCCTGCTGGAGCCACAAATAGCTTCCTAAGCTGGATTCAGGGCCTGGTAATCCAGGAAGAACAAACCTCAGACCTGTGTGATTAGGGTCAGAAGACAGTAGGCACCGTGGAGAGGCTTGGAACCCTATTTTCAAATTCCACACAGGACAGGGCTCTCACAAGGCGCTTGCCCTTGCTCACCCTCTACAGGCTATGAACTCCCTCCAGACCGGGAGACACATGCTGTGACCTCACCTGGAGGCTTCCTTAGTTGCAAAACATGCCTTCAGTTATCCAGGAGTGAGGCAGGTGGTCCTGCCTTCCACCCACAGGGCTAAGCTGAACTGGAAGGGCTGCTGTTACAAAATGCAGCCCACTGGCTTCAACACCAGCCTGGTCCAGGCCCCTCCCTCCACTGATGCCTGCTTGGCCAAGGGAGCAACGCTCTGGAGGTCTAGCCAAGAATGCTGCTGCTGCCTAGCTCTGAAAGGAGGAGGGAGGCCCCTAGGGACCCAGATGCACAAGCTCAGGCCTGCCATCCTGGTCCCCTTCACAGCTGTCTGGGAGCCCTCCGCTCTCCTGCTCCTGCAGCTCCAGGGTTTAGGTCCGCTCTCGCACCTGTGTCCATCCCATAGAAAGGGACTGCAGGCTCACAAAGGGAGCCAGAGCAGGTTGCTGGTGACCCACTCATTCCAAGGCAGCATGCCATTCTCTCTCCAAATACCTTCCATTCCTCGAGGCTCAGCCAACCTTCTGCCAGAAGACTCTCTAGTCCTTGCTCACCATCTGTAGTGATGTCTGCCTTTGCCCTGCATGCTCACTTATCTGCCTGTATGCAGCTGCTCTGAACCAAGTCCTGTGTAGCCTCCAGGACTGCTGATAAAGAGCCCCGTTGACAGAGCACGCACAGCATGCCAAGCATTGTCCAAAATCAGAAGACAGGCTTTATTTCACAATAACCTTGAGGGAGGTAACACTGTTCCCATTTTACAGATGAAAAAACCATGCCCCTGGAAATGAAATTACATTCCCAAGGTCACACAACCAATTATGGGGCAACACTGGGTCTCTAATCCAGGCAGCACAGCTTGGAAACAGTTCCAGTGGAGACTAGGCTTTCTTTGATGACAGAGCCTGGTTAAAAAAAAACAAGGACCAGCCAGTCCAGGCTTGGGGTCACCCGCTCGCTTCCATGACACAGCCCACAGCCAACATACTGAAGCACCCTGATCTGTAACGTAAACCTTCTCGGCAAGAGTATGGCCCTAGCCCTAATCGGGGAAGCAGGGTGAGGGCAGTAATAGCCAGGGAGCCTGAGGGTCTTCCTCGCCTCCACCGAGGCGGAGGGTAGGTGCTGAAGGCAGTCTGCAAATCAGGCACACTTCCCTTGTGTGACCAGCCTCAAAGGGTCCCGAAGACTCCACAGGGGAAAGGGTTACAAATGCAGCTCCTGCCGCACCTCCACCACGGGAAAAGGGGTGGGCCCCTTGAAAAGGAAGGAGTGAGGAGAAAAGAAGCCCTATTACAAGGAGAGGATGGGGCGCATCAAGGGACCAAGGAAAAGAACAGATCTCAGGCTTGGAGGCAGAGGGAAAGTAAGGGGACACAGAGGAGGGGCGCTGCGTGGGGGAGGGGTGAGAGCGGGGGCCGGACTCTGAGCCTCGTGGGCCCCCCTCCCGCGCTCTCCCTCCAGCCCGCCGGAGGCGCTCCCTTGCCGGTGCTCACCGCCCGTAATCCGCTGCAGCCCTAGCACGTCGTCCGGCCCGATGGGTTGCTTGCCCTGCAGCGGCCCCAGCCTGGGCCCGGGGCCTGGCTCTGGCTCGGACTCGGACCCGGACCCGGATTCCGCCCGAGGCTCCCGCCTGGGCTCCACACTCCGGTTCGAGGCCCCTGGAGCGGGCTCCGCCCCCGGCCCGGTTCCGCCGCCGCCCTTCTTCACCTTCATGGCCTCGCGGGGCCGCGGATCCTCGCCTGCTGCCACCGCCGCCGCCGCCGCCGCTGCCTGCGCTGGCTGGAGCCAGGGGAAGGGGGAGCGTCCGCCGCCCCACCCCCGGCCGGGCCCCAGGTGCCGTCCCGCCTTGGCCACGCCCACAGTGGGCGCGTCACACACGCCCCGCCCACCGTCTGGCATCTCCCCTGGTAGAGCCAGGATCCCCCGGGTCCTCTTGAACTTCACGGTTCTTCTGGATAATGTAAGGGATACTGAATACCTCCCCTCTCTGTCTCTGTGGGTCCCAACCTCAAGGTCTTTCCCTGATAGCTTCGTCCTGACTCCAGCTCAAGTCTCAACCTCCCACACCCACCCAGTTCTAAAGTACTTCCTCTCAATTACCAGCTAGCCAGCCTGGTTTTGTTTTTTTTTCCAATGCATTAGGCGAAATTATTTGTATTTGTTCCCTGACCTTTGTTCCTCAAAGGCCAGCTCTATGAAAGCAGTCATACTCTCTCAATACTCTGTTCTCTGTAACAGCCCAGCACTATCACAGTGCTCCTGGCAGCCAGTACCCACTATTTCCCTCTGTTGAACTTAAGAGTTAATATTCCAGGGCTGTCACTGGCTCAAGCTATCCCCCCTAGAATTCCTGCTAAAAAGCAGAAGCAGATATTCACAGCTTTAGGCAGACACCACAGCCCAGGTGTCCAGACTGTACAGGACAATGAATGGGTCAGGGAGGGGAGACACATGGCCAGGTGGGACATGGAGGACCTGGGAGCCCAGAGCAGATCAGACTACTTCTCACACACGAGTGAGTTATGACACGTGGTATCAACTCATATTCAACCAATGTTTATTAACAACCTAATATATATTTTTAAAGAGCCCAATATACAGAACACTTTTACATGCTTATCACATTTAATCCAACCCCCTTCTGAGAGTGACGTCATCAGTGCTTTCCGACAGATGAAAACCTGAGGCTCAGAGAGAAGAGCAGCTTATCTGAAGCTCTCCAGTCCGTAGGTGCAGCAGGGGTCTGACTCAGGCCTGCTGGATTCCAAGTCAGAAACGTTTCCTCCTGTACCACACTGCCTCTCTGAAAGGGCAGAGGGGAACCTTAGCCACAAGGCAGAAACAGGTCCTAAGCGGCTGCCTCCTCGACCACGCTAGGCTGTACCCAATGGGTGATACCAGTCAGGAAGGGGAGGAAGGAGGGAGAAGATCTTAGAAGTGGAGAGGAGGGGGCTATAATTCAACCCAAGGATTTCCCCTCAATCCACCTCTCAGTACAGAAGTATGCCGTGCTGACAGGCTGGAAGAACAAGGTACCCCTGCCCAGGAGTAGACAGGCAAAGGCCTTTAAGTTCAAGCCAGATGTGGAGATCCAGAAAATGTGTCCTCCTAGGCTGCTAGGTGTGATGGAGGACCAGATTAGTGCAATGGGAAGGGAAAGGAAGGTGAGTCCACCATGGAGTGGCATCCTCTGGTTGGTAGAGAGCCAACAAAGAATGAAGACAAACCATAGGACCTCGCTTTGGCCTCTCACCCAATACCCTGGCTTGGCCAGACAGGAAGGCTTCCTCTGACATGCCATCCGGCTCAGTCTATCTTCTCAGGCTTTTTCCAGGACTTGTGAGTTTCCAGAAAGATCTTGACCAGAGACAGAAGGATGGGCACAGCCATAGGCAGGAAAAGTGGGATATAGATAGCAAACTTCTGGTCATCAGGGAAATACAAGAGGTGGAGGAGCGAGGGATCAAAAAAGGCACGCTCAGAAGATGTCACGGCTTCCTGGCTGGCCACAAAGGCGGCTGACAGGTGCCCAAGGGCTAACTCCTCTGCTGCCTTCTGGACTGCAGCCACAGCCCTATATACCTAGGAAGGTGAAGGGATGGGAGTTACCAATATGTCCTAGGCAAGGGGCAGGGGAAGAGTGCTGGCCTTTCAGTACCCTCTGTCTCCCAGGGGAAGTTTCCTGGAGTCCACCCAAGCTATGTGGAAGTTAGTCAAAACGGGCTGTTGTTTATTTTCTGAGGGTCAGCTTGAAACTTTCGTTTGTTCCCACCTAGACTCCAATTGGGGAGCTGGCATGGCTTCCAGAGGAAGCTTGAGGTATTTATTTATGGATGGCATGCTCACAGGCACCCTGGCTCATCCCTTCCTGGCCCATTTACCTCAGATGCCACATCATCCTTGATGACAATGTTGCTGATCTTGCCCAGAAGCTGAGCCAGGGAAGTGAGGGTGGTGGTGGCTGTGGCCAGGTTCTCCACTGACCGAGCCCAGAGCAATCGGTCCAGCTCCCAGGTCATGAGTCCTTCACTCTTTGGTCCTGAAAGCAGGCATTTTGGAGGCACCTGGGGCTGAGCAATCCCAAAGAGAAGCCTGTGGAAATGGTACCGGAAGACCAGAGTTGCTGTGCACAGGGGTGCCGACGCTAAAATTCCCATTGTCTCTGTCCTAGCCAGGCACTGGTTTTACGGAGGACCACAGAGGTGGAGGAATGAGAAGCGGCAGCAGACAACCCAGATTTCCAAACCCCGCCTTGACCAAGTATCTCCATTTCCACACTGGAGTTCCAAGATCTTGTCTGGAAACCATGCTGTGGTTTAAATGGTTCTTTAGCCCCAGCTCAGTTTGGTTCCCTCTCTGTACCCTTCTCTGAGCAAATGGACTCCGTGGGACAGGGATGGCAGGCCCACCTTTGACAAGACGTGTGTGCCTCGAGGTACCGCTAATTACCAGAATACAGTCCTATTTAGCCCAGAAGCCACTTCAGCATCTTCAATGTAGAGCGTCAGATGACTGCCCTCAATTTATGGGTGAGCACAACATAAGTAGCTATTTTCTTTAAAAAAAAAAAAATAGAAAGAAAGAAAAAAAAAACAAAACAAGGGGCTGGAGAGATGGCTCAAGGGTTAAGGGCACTGGCTGCTCGTCCAGAGGAGCAGCTGGGTTTGATTTCCAGCACCCATCTGATGGCTTACAACCATTTGTAACTCCAGTTCCAGGAGATCCAGTGCCCTCTTCTGGCCTTTGTGGGCACGAGGCATACATGCAGGCAAAACATTCATACACATAAAGTAAAAAATCAAATAAAAAATTTAAAAATTTTGAGACCTTGTCTCAACAAAACAAAACAAAACAAAACAAAAAAAACCAGTTACGCCGGGCGGTGGTGGCACACGCCTTTAATCCCAGCACTCGGGAGGCAGAGGCCGGCGGATCTCTGTGAGTTCGAGGCCAGCCTGGGCTACCAAGTGAGTTCCAGGAAAGGCGCAAAGCTACACAGAGAAACCCTGTCTCGAAAAAACAAAAAAAAAACAGTTACTTTCTAGCTCTCTTTTTCTTTTCTTTTTTTTTCTTTTTCTTTTTTTTCCCTGAGACAGGGTTTCTCTGGCTGTCCTCGAACTCACAGAGGTCTGCCTGCCTCTCGGGTGCTGGGATTAAAGGCGTGCGCCGCCACCGTGCCCCAGCAACAGTTGTTCTCTTAAGCACCCCTAATCACACCTGGAAAGCTGGCTTCTATTTTTCTGAGGGCAAGGTTTGCCAGCTGCTTGTCCTCCTTAGGAGAAGGACCATCTGGAAACTTTTCCTGGTCTCGCTGGGGCTCTAGGCACAGCCACAGCCCTCCACGGCCCTCCACCAGTTCATTCTGCTCTGCCACCCCACCTATATCCACACGGTCGGTGGGCACGGCCCCGAAGGGATCACGCAGGGCAGGCCTCACCTCAGCTGAGCCAGGAACACCTGCATCACCTGCACCATGTCCACCTCAACTCTCACTGGCAGATCTGAGGCATTATAGATTTGGGGATCGACGTTGTATATCTGAAAATGGGGAATGAAATTACCTTAATACCACACAGGACTGTGCACATTTCTGCTTGGTAGTCAGAGGCCATTAAAAGGAAAGGAAGATATGGCTTCTGGTATCCACAGGCTATACATCCCAGGGGCACAGCAACCCTCTCCCCTACTTTTTAAAAAAAAAAATTGAGTATCCATGTACTTAAGTACTAAAGAAGCTTCAAGTACATTATGCTAAATGGCCCCTCAAAGGTCCTGTGAGATTCAAAACAGTTATCTTGTTTTAGCATTCCTACCCATGGAGCAGAGGACAGAGGGGAGCAGGGTCTCACCACTGCAAGACTCCCCCACGGAAGCCAAGAGCTAAGATGGACACAGACTAGCCTGCAGTGCAAACTGTGAGCACAAAAAAAGCACTGACCAAAGAAACAGCCGGGCTGGCAGAGGAGGGGCTCAAGCACAGCCCTGTCACCTCGCTGGCACACGCTCCCACTGCCCCAGAGACAAGCTGATGGGAGTTCCCTGGAAAGAAATGTGGACTCTGGGGTCTGAATAGGGTGATTATTACCATAATGCCACCCCAGCGGGGACTGTGGAAGGCATTGGTGGCCACTGGAGCCCCATCCTTGTCCTGAATGTACAGAGGGGAGTGGGCGAGCTCAGGCACGTAGAGTAGGAAGTTGAGCACAGGGTACAGGGAGGCAGCGCTGGATCCTGGGGTACAAACAGAGGAGTTAGGAGACCCAAACACGTGACTCCTGGATCGGAGTTCCCCCAAATGACACTCACTAGGGCACTCTCAACTCCTCCCAACTTTTCTACATGTACCACGTGGATGGGACAGAGTCCTTGACCCCCAAATGTCCCTGGTTTTCTGCCCTCTGAGAGCCCACCCTCCACTGTTTACAATAGCTCGCTTGGACACTGCAAAGAGGAACTTCAACTCTACCTGGTTCCAGGCCTCATCTGTGGTCTCCACTCTGTTTCAGCTTCCTAAACTACCCCAAGCTCCCTCGGTCTCTCTGCTCTTACTCTTCTTTGTCGGGACATCCCCTCTGCCGTAACAAACAGCCTTTCTGTCTCCGTCCTCACACTGCCACAGAGTGTCCTTTGCTAATGTTGTGGAATGAACGAAGTAACGAAGGAAAGAGGAATTTGCAGAGGACACATGTGCCAGCCCTCCTGAAATCCTTGGTCCATACTTAATGCACTTAACTCTGGTCTGCCTGTATTGGTTCTTCACCACACTCCCCAGGGCTCCTTCCCTCCAGACAAAGGATTACAATCCTAGCTTCAAGGTTCCCCTAATTCAATGAGCACAACTGTGCATTCAAATTCTGCTTTGGGCTGGTGAGATGGCCCAGTGGGTAAAGGTGCTTGCCACCGTATCTGGTGACCTGAATCTAATCCCCGGGACCTACATAATGGAAAGAGAAGACGAGCTCTCACAAGCGTACTCTGACCTCCACATGCATACCACAACAGTCCCCTCAACAGCCACAAACTATAGAAAGAAATGTTACAAGAAAAGTCAAGGGGTTAGAGAGGTGTCTCAGCAGTTAAGAGTACTGGCTGTTCTTCCAGAGGACCTGATTTAGTTCCCAGCACCCACATGGCAGCTCACAACTGTCCGTAACTCTAGTTCCAAGGAGTCTGACACCCTCATACAGACATACATGCAGGCAAAACACCAATGCATGTGAAATAACAATAAATAAATCATTAAAAAAGAAAAGAAAAGAAACCCCAAATTCTGCTTTCAAAGGCTGAGTGAGATGCAGCTCAATTGTAGAGTACGTGCCTGGTAAGCACAAGACCCTGAATTCAATCCCCAGAACTGAGAGAAGAAAAATTAGTGTTGTTTTTTTTTAAAAGCTGGGTATGGTGGGACATGCCTATAATCTCAGCACTTGGGGAGATGGAAGAAGGAGGGTCAGGAGTTCATGGCTTTCTTGGCTACACAGTGAGCATGAAGCCAGCCTAGCATAAGACCCTGTCTCAACAAAACAAAACAAAGACTTCTACCTTTCTGAGGTACATGAACTCTGCCTCAAACAATGAAAAGGAAAGATGAGAGGATGTGAGAGAGACAGACAGACAGACAGACAAAGACACAGAGAGAGAGAGAGAGAGAGAGAGAGAGAGAGAGAGAGAGAGAGAGAATCTTCCCAATCCAAAAAGACCAATTCAACCCAGACACCATCAAAACACACAACCCACCTCCAACCCCAGGCTATGCCCTGCAGTGTTCCTCCGTGGCCTGGCAGAAAGCCTCATCAGGCACTCACCCAGCCGGGACTCCACCGGGTTGATGACATGGGGGAGGCTGTGCATGGCTAAGTAGTAGCTAGATGAGGCTGGGTCAAAGCGGGGGTTCACTCCCAACATGGCATAATAAAGAATCTGTGGTGAAAAGACAGAACAGGCTATTTCTCTTCTCTGTTCATGAATTTAGAGTCTACTTTCTCTAAGAAAAGGTTTGAGGTAACTTGTAAAAATACATTCAGGACAAGGCAAAATATACAAGACAAAGTCAGGGCTCAGAGAAAATAGGTGTACGGAAGAAAATAACAAAATTAAGATAAAGTTAACATACTAAACACATACTTAGAAAACCACATATTTTACTAGGTTTCCAAACAGCCAAAGAGGAAAATGAAGAAAAAGCATAAAAAAAAAAAAAAAAAAAAAAGCATTGGTTCACAAGAGTCAATCAAGCATGTTATTCCGAGATAACCACTCCCACTAGCAGGACTTGATAAACAGTCCCCCACATTTCCCCTACAAGGACAGGATGTGATACGGAAAGCAAGCAGCATTCTTTATGGCTTTATCGTTACAGTGTGCACATAATTCAGAAAGCTTTTTTTAATAAATTCCTGAAGAGCGGCTGACAGCTTTCCTATCTAGGTGCAACTGCTGAAGAAGTTCCAGAGTCCTAAGGAAGCTGCTTTGTTAAGCCGCTCTGACAGGACTCCTTGAGCCAGACACCAAGGAAGAAAGGACACCAGCACCTGCCCTCAAGGGATCAATGGGCTGATGGAGATCAAACAGGTGCACACACACACAGCAATGCCCACAATCTACACACCTGCTCACATGACACTGCCCTGCACATAGCTACGCCAGCAAACCAGCATGCTATAAGAGATGGAAGAGCAGACGCCCTTGGAAACACTCAATGTGTACAGACTTTGAAAGAAATTCCGTAACTCACTCCGGGTCTTACCTGAGAGTCCACAGAGAAATTGCCAGCGGCACGGAGGGCATTCAGGAAAGGCTGTACATAGCGCTGGACAGCCCCCTCGATGTCCCAGTGGACATCATGGGATTTGGGGTCTGGGTTGAGTAAGCTGAAAGTGATCTCGTAGCCTACAGAAAGAGGAGTCGTGGAATTCAGAGGACACCAAGGAAAAAAGAGGCAGCCTCTAGCCCACCTCATATGGATGGGGAAGGGTGCCAGGAAGAACCAGAGAGGACAGAGGTGAGGTAAGGAACACTCCTGAGTGCTTTAAGAAAAAAAAATGGGCTGGGTAGTAGTAGCACACACCTTTAGTCCCAGCATTCGGGAGGCAGAGACAGGCAGATCTCTGTGAGTTCAAGCCCAGCCTGGTCTACAGAGAGTTCCAGGACAGCCAGGACTACACAGAGAGACCCTGTCTCAGAAGAAACAAACAAAAAATAGAAATGGAGAAGCCAAACATGGTGGCTCCTGCCTTGAATCACAGCACTATAAAGGCAGAAGCAGAGGCAGGAGGATTTCTGTGTGAGGACAGCCTGGTCTACAGAGTGAGTTCCAGGACAGCTAGGGCTGTTTCCAAAAAAAAAAAAAAAAAAAAAAAAGAAAAGAAAAAGAAAAAGGGGCTGGAGAGATGGCTCAGAGGTTAAGAGCACTGGCTGTTCTTCCAGAGGTCCTGAGTTCAATTCCCAGCAACCGCATAGCATCTGATACCCATTTGAAATGAGGTCTGATGCCCTCTTCTGGCATGTAGGTATACATGCAGACAGAAACACTGTATATATAATAAATAAATAAATCTTAAAAAAAAAAGAAAGAAAGAAAGAAAAGAGAGAAAAAACTGGAGAAATGGTTGAGAGCTTTAAAGTACCACTGCTCTTGCAGAGGGCCCAGGTTCAATTCCCAGCACCCACAGGGTGGCTCACAACCATCTTAACTCCAGTTCCAGAGGATCTGACACCCTCTCTGACCTCCAAGCACCTACACCAGAACATATATACATGCAGATAAAACATTCATTTACATAAAATAAATAAATCTAAAAAATATTTTTGAAAATGGAGACCAGAAAAAGACAGGCATAAGCAGCTTGCACAGATTTCCCGCTGTGCCATCCACCTGACTCATTTCTTCTCCCTGTCTGTAACGAAGCCCAGAGCCCTACCCAAGCTGGACTTGAGAGGCCTCCTCTTATCAGAGCTCCACTTGTCCTCGGGGAGGTGGTCAGCCAGAGCAGCGGCGAGCACATCCTCTGTCAAAGACATGGCCTGGGCTACTTGGATTATGCGGCGGCCAATGATGTTGAAGGCTTCCCGGTGCATTATCCCCCGTACAACCGCTGTCCTCTCGGGTCCAATGTAGCTCATCATGTCCTATGCAGGGTACAGAGGGACGGAAGACCACGGCCCAGTGAGGGAAGCACAAAGGCACTTCCTCCTGCCACCACCCACCCCTTTGTGACAAAGTCAGCTTGGTCTACAGAATGAGTTCCAGGATAGCTTGGGCTACATCACAGAGAGACTCTGTTTCCAAAAAAAAAAAAAGAAAATTGGACTGGAGATATCAGGAAGCCCTGGGTTCGAGCCTTGGAACTCTACACACAGGCACAGTGGTGCATGCCTGTAATTAATTCTAGCACTTGGGAGGTAGGTAGAGGAAGACAGGAAATTCAAGGCCATCCTTGGCTACACACTGAGGTCAGCCCTGCTACATGAGATTCTGTCGATAAAAAAAACAAATAGTCACTAGCACCTTAACCACACACCAGTCTCGGGTTTAGAAAGACCCAAACTGATATAAGTGAATAATCACACTAGTATGTGTATTGTGAACTGTGGAACTTTCCATAGCATGTGAGAGTTACAGGCAGCACCCCTACAAGAAGGTGGCCTGGGAGAGGATGAGCCGACAGAAAAGGCCAGTCTTCAGCACCTCTTCTCAGCCTACCTGGGGAAGAAGGGAGGAGTGTTCGGAGATGATGTACACCGTCAGGGAGCCCTCTGCTTGCTTCTCCGGCTCAGCTAACATGGCTTCTGCCTCTGGGGATAACAGTCGTGACCCGTCAGAGGCGGCATTATTACAGCTTCCCCAGGACCCCAGGGTGTTTGGGCCACCCAGTCCAGCTTTCAGCCCATAGAGGGACCGGGCTGAACCCCAAGGCATCTCATTCCCAGCTTTCTCAGAGAAGCTTGGGAAGTGAAGACACAGCATGGAAATCACACTTAGATGTCCTAGTCAGGGTCACTATTGCTGTGATGAAACACCATGACCAAAGTAACCTGGGGAGGAGAGGGTTTGTTTCAGCTTATACTTCCAGGGCCATCCCTGAGGGAAGTAAGGGCAGGAACCTGGAGACAGGAACTGATGCAGAGGCCTTGGAGGAATGCTGCTTACTGGCTTGCTCATCACGGCTGGCTCAGCCTGCTTTCTTATAGACCCAGGATCACTGGCCCAGGGCTGGCACCACCCACAATGGGCTGGGCCCTCCCCATCAATCACTAAGTAAGAAAGTGCCCTACAGTTGGATTTTATGGAGGCGTTTTCTCAACTGAGATTCCTTACTTTAAGGTAACTCCATCTTGTGTCGTGCTGACATAAAACTAGCCAGCGCAGGAGAGCAGAAGGAAAAAGACCGACTCATCAAAGCTGTCATACCATATACACTGCCCAGCGACAGTGCCTCCTCCTCGTGGTCCAGAGCTCTCCGGTAGGCCTTCTGGAATCGGCACTTGATTTTCATTTTGTCTGGAAGGGAGAGCACGCGAAGGGCATTAGACTTCAGCTACCTGCCCAGCTGGGCACCTCCAGCATTAACGACATCAGGATGGCTCTTCAGAGAAAGAAAATGTACATGTACCAAGCAGTGACAGCCACTCCAATCATTTCTGCAAAGATGACAGCAGACACATGACATTCACTTCACCCTTTTGCCCCAGCGCTTGCCTCTGACTGTGAGCTCACTGGTCCTCTTGCCAGAACTCTCCAAACTGGGGGACTTTATTCAATGTACATTACATTGATTGGAGAGAGGAGAAAAACCATATGGTAACCAGTCGATAAACCTGATGAAAACCAAAGCCCTGGTACAACGCAGGAAGTTAGTGATAAAGCAAGGAGGCCTGCTGTCTCCTCTGTCGTTCAGGGTTACTCAGCACTGTCCTTTGTGATGGTCCTCACCAATGTAATAAGAAAGGAAAAAGAAACCTAAAACATTCAGAAGAGGACTGCAGAGATGATTCAGTGGATAAAGAGTGTGCTGCACAAGCATAAAGAATGTGCTGTACAAGTCAGGCGCTGGTGGAGCACACCTTCAATCCCAGCATTCGGGAGGCAGAGGCAGGTGGATCTCTGCGAGTTCCAGGCCAGCCTGGTCTACAGAGTGAGTTCCAATACAGCCAGGGGTACAAACACAGTGAAACCCTGTCTTCAAACAAACAAACAAAAAGATTGTGTTGCACAAGCATAAGAAGAGTGTGCTGCATAAGCATGAAGAGTATGCTGCACAAGCATAAGAGTGTGCTACACAAGCATAAGAAGAGTGTGCTGCACAAGCATAAGAGTGTGCTGCATAAGCATGAAGAGTGTGCTGCACAAGCATAAGAAGTGTGTTGCACAAGCATGAGAGTGTGCTGCACGAGCATGAAGATCTGAGCTCACACCCCCAGTTTCCACATAAAAGCCGGGTGTGGAGCACATGCCTGCAACTTTAGTACTAGTGAGTGGAGACAGGCAGGTCCTGGGGACTCCCTGGCCAGCCAACCAGGCTGAAATGGGGCTGCACAGAGAGATACTATCTCAAGAAACACAAAAATAAAGTGAACCAGAAGACAGAAGTCAAATGATAAAGACCTTGGTAAAAGCATCTGGTCTGGCAATGTGGAGAGGTCTGCTGAGCAACGCTTGGAGATTTAAGGATTCTAAGAGAACTCAAGGTTCAGTGAGTAATGCTTCTTCAAAAAACGAAGGTGGGAAACAACAGAGGAAGACACCACACACTGGCCTTAGGTTTCCCTATCTGTATGTACACGAGAGTGCATCCATGCTCACATATACACAGGCATGCACATGCCAAACACACATATGCACACACACATTAAAAGAAACAAATAGCGCCGGGCGGTGGTGGCGCACGCCTTTAATCCCAGCACTCGGGAGGCAGAGCCAGGCGGATCTCTGTGAGTTCGAGGCCAGCCTGGACTACCAAGTGAGTTCCAGGAAAGGCGCAAAGCTACACAGAGAAACCCTGTCTCGAAAAAAACCAAAAAAAAAAAAAAAAAAAAAAAAAAGAAAAAAAAGAAACAAATAGCTATTTTTGAAGTACTATAATTATTTTTCACACACACAAAAATGAGAACCAGGGGCTAGAGAGATGGTTCAGCTTCTAGAGGACCAGGGTTCAGTTTTCAGCACCCACACAGTGTGTACTCCAGTTGCAGGGAACAATTCCCTCTTCTGTTCTCTGAACACACATGGTACACAGACTACAGTCAGGCAAACACTCAAACACACACATAAAGTAAAAATAAGTAAAATCTAAAAAATGTTTAAGTTTTTTTTTTTTTTAAGAGAACCAGCTGAAAGCCACTAGAGCTAGAAACAGCTCAGCAGAATGACCACACACAAAATGATCCACCAACCAGCAGCTGCACAAGTAACGGCATCTGAGTTACTCAGTATGACAGAGGAACTAAAGCCACCAACAGCAGACATATTTGTAATCCCTGCATTCAAGAGGCTGAGGCTGGAGAATGGCCACAAGTCTGAGGCCAGCTAGAGATAGACAAGGACACCCTGTCTCAATAAACAAAAATGAACTAGAAGGAAAAAAATAAAATTATAAATAACTTTTATAAAGGCATTAAATATAGGACTATGGATAGGACTATGTGAGTGAAGCCTGGAGATCTAATGAATGCTAAGGTAATTTAGATGTCTTTAATATTTCATTTCATTTTATTTTATGTTGAGACAGGGTTTCACTATGAGCCCTGGCCTAGCCTGGAACTTGCAATGTAGACCAGGTTGGCCTGGAACTCAGAGATCCACCTGCCTCTGCCTCCTGAGATCTGGCACACACCTGTAATCTCAGTATTTGGGAGGGCCAGGAGTTCAAGGCCAGCCTGTCTTTGGGGAAGATGTCTCTGCAGGTAGAAGCACCTAGTGCAGGGACTGACAATCCCAGAGCCCCACACGGTGACGAAAGAGAACTGATGACAGCAGACTGTCTTCTGACCTCCACCATGTGGGTTCAGGGGATCAAACTCACATCACCAGACTTGGTGGCCAGCACCTTTTCCCACTGAGCCATCTTGTCAGCTCCTGTAAAGACTTCTGCCTAACAGACTGAACCTGCAGCCACGTGTGGTGGTGTATGCCTCTCAGTACTTCAAGGTCTCTGTTCAGCCTGCACCTCCAGCCATGCCTGATGTTTTACTTGGAATTTCAGTAAGGCAAAACTGTTCAGATTACCCAACTCAGTCATTCACGCCTCCATGAGACGGACAGGAAGAGTGTCACTATCAGATCTGGATTTAATCCCAGTTCATGTTTACTAGCTTTGTGATTTGGAGCAAGACAAATCCTATAAATCTTGGTTTCTTCATTTATAAAATGAGAATCATTCTGCTGGGATTAAATGAGGCAAATTGTACAGCTGTCTGCCTGCCTTCTGGCAGACAGTGTGACTGATACCAGTTATCTTCCTATCCCTTCACAGTATTCCTTCTGTCTGAAAGGCTCTCTACTCTGCCCATTTAATCTGACCCCTATATGCCCAGTTCCTAAAAATCTAATTTCAAGCCAGGCAGTGGTGGCGCACACCTTTGGTCCCAGCACTCGGGAGGCAGAGGTAGGCGGATCTCTGTGAGTTCGAGGCCTGCCTGGTCTACTGAGTGAGTTCTAGAACAGCCAGGGCTGCACAGAGAAACCCGTCTCTCAAGGAAAAAAAAAAATCCTATCGTCAAACCCCTCTCCACCTTTCTTTCCTCTCTGACAGGTAAGGAGGGAATCCAGGATCTCCTGTGCCCCTACCACTAAACCAAACCTCCAGCCTTAGAGTATTCTGCCTGTTTCTTTCTCCCTGGTGTGACTATAAACGTCTTGAAAACATTACCAATTTACTATTCATCCTCAAGTTCTTGGTACCTAACAAAGTGCCTAACAATAAAATGTATGAGATTAGAATGACAAGGGTCTGGATAGGAGCCGGTGTAACCAGACTCGAGTGTTCTTCCAGGTACATCCTGCTTTCTCTATACACTGATGGGTATCAACTGCTACTGATAAGGTAGCAGAACTTACCTTATGAATTAAATTACCATGACAACACTGAACTTAAGGCTATCTCTCCCCTTCCTAAATAAACACACTGTTGTTTATTCCAAAAGAGATCTTTTGGGGGGCGGGGGGGGGGGCGGGGAGATGGCTCAGTGAGTAAAGGTGTTTGCTGCCAAGCCTGATGACCTGAATTGGATTCCCCAGGGCCCATGAGGTGGAAGGAGAAATGATTTCCACATATTGTCCTCTGACCTACACACACACACACACACACACACACACACACACACACACACAATAAATGCAATAAAACATTCTAAAGTAAGTTATGACACGCCCACGCTCCTCCTATGGAATCCAACTCTGAGTTTTGGGTCTGGCTCAGCCCTGACACCCTCTCTCAAGGGAACTCACATTTCAGAGGGATCTCTCTCTCATGAACAACGGTGAAGGGTAGCTTCTCCTGGTCGTCCAGGGGCACAGAGTCCCGAGTAAACACAACTGTGACTGGCACCATGAGCCGGAGCTGCGCGGAGGAAGGCATTGGGGGGCCTTGAGCGACGTCTGCACCTTGCGGTGGGCGGCCCCCCTCCACCCTCGCCTTCCTCACTCAAGTCTCACCTGCAGGGCATTCAGCCCACTGATCTCGGAGTAAGGCAACGGGGCTCGGTAGGTCTCCGTGGTCTTCCACCAGAGCGGCAGTCCCAGCAGGATGGCCACCGCGGCGAAGAACAGCGCGGAGCGCTTGCCCCGGACCACCTCTGAGGGCACAAGGGGCGGACTGAGGCTCGGGAGCCAGGGTGCGATGCCCGCCACACGGCGATCGCAGACCAGTGCGAGCTGCCGGGATTCCCCGTGCGAGCCGCTCCCGCGTGGCGTGCCCCGGAACCCAGCCTGGAGGGACCTGTCTGGCTTCTCGCGCCCCACCCACACATTCCGCCCGCGAGACCTCCCCGCCGCGCCCTCCACCCGAAACCCACCGCACCTAGGTCCGTAGCCGCGGCCCCCGCGGCCGCCATACTCGCTTCCGGCTGCCCAGGTCGCCGAGGGGCGGGGCCTCGTGAGTTTCCTCCAATAGGAAACCTCAGCATGAAGGGGCGGGACCACGGTGCCCGACCGCTGCCAATTGCGAGCGACACTGCAGACGCACACCAGTGCGCAGGCAGAGCCTGTGAGCGGGTATCCGCCGGGCAGGACACTTGATCTGAACCTCGCTTTCCCGGAACGCGCCCGGCACTGAGTAGCTCCACAGCGCCAGCTCAGAGAGAAGGCAAGACTGGCTAACTAGCCCAGGCTGGCCCTCTGACTCTGGGCAAGCCCCCTGCCTCAGCCTCTCCAGTGCAGGGGATTACGAGCATGCACCGCACCCCCGCGCCACCACCCCCAGCGGAAGGAGAATATTTATTTCAGTGAAGCCAAGCTTATCAAGAGCTTGACTCCCGAAAAGCTTTCTAATGTCATCCCTAGCATAGAGCCTTTCTTCAGGACACCGGCTCTTCAAAGCTTAAAGACGGAACTGACAAAACCGTAACTTTTTAGCATGATTAGCTACTCTGGGATTAATTTTAATTGATTTAGTTAGTTTTGAGACAATTTCCCTACATGACCCAGAAGGACCAAGTGATCCTGTCCCCAGTGTCTCAGCCTCCCAAGTAGCTGAGACTATAGGCACAGGTCACCACATCCAGCTTCTAGAATTTAAAAATGGGTTCCAATTTGGAAAAGTCAGGATGCTTCAGTGAAATTTCTTGAGCATAGATTCTATATTCTAATGACTCCGGTTCACATCCTGGCTTCATTTATTACCTGAACAGCAGCTCTCTGAGCCTGCTTCTGCCTGTGAGAAAGACTATTCACTACTTTACAGAGCTGTCTCAATACACATCATAGTGGTTAGAGGAACACCGCCTGGCAGAATCACAGAAACTGCTGAGTTAGCTGCTCCTTTGTTATAAGGTCAGGCCACACAGAGCACAGCAGCAATGATTTCTCCAGTTCACAGGACACAGCCAGTCTGGTGTCACCCTACCTCACACTCTAGCCCAGAGATCAACATTCAGCACAAAGCCCTACCAGTTCTAACGTTGCCCAGATTCTCAAATGGATCCCTTCTCTACATGGAAGTAGGCGATCGCCCTTGGCAAGCTCTGGCAGCCCAGAGTCTTGGAAGGTTTTCTTATTGGAAAGCGCCCAAGTGCACATTTCTCCCTAAATGTGTCGGGGCCCCAGCAGGAATCAGCAATGCTGAAATGAGAGAGAACTGGCCCACTCTCATCCCTGCTTGTCTGGCTGACTCGCTGCTTTGAGTCCTGCACAAAATCTGTTCAGGAGATAATCTGTTTCTGTTGCTCATCGTGCGGGAACTGCAGTCCAGTGCGTTTGATGTGGCAGTCCCTGGAAGACTTGTAGTCCCCATCACACCCTCTTACAACTCCACTCCAGCTTTGGAGATCAGCAGGTGGGAGCCTGAACCGGGGGATGGTGAACCTAGTGAACCCAGTAAAACTCAGATCTCACCGCTCCACCACCATAGTCAGAGGGCACTGAGATAGGATCAGCAGATCACACACAGGGAGATAGGACTTGGATGTGTGCAACAGACAGACAGAGTAGTGTGTTTTGCTCCCATTTATTTGCTGTGTACTCGGGGCATGAGTCAGGGCTGGTGCACTTCCCCCTGATCCCAAGAGAGAGCCTAAGGGCAAGCTACACCATCATGGGAAAACTGTAAGGGCTGACGGAGCCAGGGGAAAGACCCACACGTTCTGTTCTGACTTCTAGAAAAGTCCCCCTGCCCCCAGACTTGGGGGGCCTCCCTGCCCCTCCCATTCCATGGTTTCAGGTGCAGCAATGCGAGACAGAAAGAGAGGAGAGAAAAAGACGAGTTGGTGCTGGATGAAGACATCTCTGCTCTGCGTGGCGGTTTGGCCCTGGCTGTGACTACGGGGTGCACGTGACTAGGCCAAGGGCTGTGGGCTGGGCAGGCGCGCCTCAGTAGGCGTGGTTGGCCATGTAGAGGGACTGGGCTGCTGCTCCACCATCTCCACTGCCTTCATATCTGCCCTGGGCTCGCCAGCCCGTTCATCTGCAAAGGAGAATGGGGGCAGGGTGAGCAGGTTGAGCCAGACCACAGGTGCGGAACCCCTGCCCAGTTTGGGACCTCCGGGTGCTACGCACCATCTCTCCCCAGTCGTCACCTCTAGCTCCCTACCTCTGCCCGTTTGATAAACTCCTCCGTAGCAGCCCCCGCATTGTCCCTTTGTCCTCTCCAGGCATTGAGTGCCGATGCCTGCAGGGCACGTCCATAGGAGAAGGTGAGGGCCCAGGGCCGGGGAAGTGGGCAGCGATTGATGGCGTTGAGGTTGAGGGATGCCTCCTCTTCGCTCTGACCCCCGGACAGGAAAGTCACTCCTGGAGAAGAGGGAGAAGACACACTGACTGATCATTCTACACTTTTTCCAGGGTAAAGGATCCCTGTGCCACAGAAAAACCTGAACGTCAGACCTGAAGTAACAGGAGCAGTTCTGTACCTGGGACAGCTGGGGGCACAGTACGACGCAGGGCAGTGACGGTAGCCATGGCGATCTCTTCTGGGCTATACTTGATGGGACAGGCATGGCCAGGGGTTACCATGTTGGGCTTGAGCAGAGTCCCTTCCAGGTATACATGATGATCACTGAGGGCCTTGTACACAGCAGCCAGGACCTGGGAATCAGAGGAGGTTTATGTAGGGCTGGGGCCACTGCTCAGTCTGCTGTGCTCCCCATCCAGGGGTGGGTGGTTACAGGATGTACGGGCTCATTCTCTGAAGCCTGTTTTGGAGTCAGCAAAGAGCCCTAAGTGAGAGTGTGTCTGGATCTAAGATGCAGGAGTGGGGTCCAGGCACCCCTGATGGCTGTCCCTAACATGTCTGAGCTCAGCGGAGCATTACCTTCTCTGTAACATACTGGCAACGTTTGAGGTCATGGTCTCCATCAGGCAGGATCTCAGGCTCCACAATAGGCACGATACCATTCTGCAAGCAAGAGCAGGGTTAGTTGGAAGAAGCGGAAGATGGGACGGGGGAAAGCTATGAAAGCATACCTCCACCAGGCATGGGGCATTCGTCCACCCGCCCAACCCCCAGCCCACACCTGCTGGCAGATGCTGGCATAGCGGGCCAGCACGTTGGCATTCTCCAGAATGGCCAGTGCTGAGGGTGTGCGATCACCGATCTTCAGTACACAGCGCCATTTGGCAAAATCGGCACCATCCTTCTTATACTGAGCACAGCGTTCCAAGAGTCCATCCAGCCCTGGAAACACAGTACCCGCTTCATCGCCCTGCCCCTGTCTTGCCGGTGTCAACCATGTCATACCTCTGTGGACTTCACACCTACCCACCACATACCTTGAGTGGTGGTTTCCCCATCAGTCCCAGCTAGAGGCACGACACCCTTGTCAACCTGCAAAGAAAACATAAGTCGAGGGCTGGCCTTGCCACCCCTCCTACATACACCAGTTTCCACACCCAGTTCCCAGGCAGGGCCAGGGGCTACATACCTTAATGCCTACAAGAATGCCCTTATCCTGGATGGTCCGGACAAAGGGGACACCATTATCATCTTTCTGATAGAGTGTCTCATGGAAGAAGATAACGCCACCGATACACTTTTTCACACGGTCATCAGCGCTGAATAGGACCTGGCGGTACAGCCTGCGATTCTCCTCAGTATTCTCTACCCCAATCTGGCTCAGCCTTTTGGCCATGCTGCCTAGAAGCAAGCAAAGGGAAGACAGCCTTGTTCTTTGGCTGGCAACCTTTCGCCAACCCTGCCCACAGGCTCTCACTTACCTACGGACTCATCTGCAGCCAGAATGCCTTTGCCCGGGGCCACAATCCGGAGGGCAATATCAGACAGCTCCCTCTTCTGCTCAGCAGAAAGAGCTGGGTACGAATGGGGCATGGTGACAGCTGTCTGGAATGGAGACAAGACAGAAAAGCTAGACTCCAACTACTAACTCCTCTGCTTCCCCTCCTGACCAAACAGACTAAATGCCCTTCCCAGCACATGGCTGGAAGCTGAACAGCAGTCCTTGGCCTGGGTCCTGGGCATCAGAGTGGCACCAATCTCTTTGACAGCTAACAGGGTTAGAGCCCTAGTTCCCACATCTCCTTTTGTCCCTGATGGGCACCCTTCCCAGCTCCAGGAGAGATGCAGGATGGGGGATGGGGAGGTGGTAGCCCTGAAGCTATAGGTCTTTCTGGAAACCACTGCCCCGTTGAGAATGCCAACTCTTCCTACACTGACTCTGGCCCTTGAGGGAGACAAAAGACCTGCCTTTTTCTGCTTCCCTTTCCTTTTCTTCAAAAGGGCCCCTGGGGGAGGGGGGGACATAACCCACTTTTCTCCAAGATTTGTGAATGAGACATTTAATCCACATCCTGGCAGGGGACAGGTCATGGAGTAGCAGTGGTACAGCTAACAGCCCCAGCCTTCCATTACCTCTTCTTTTCCATACTGAAAACCTGACTACCTATGCTACTGTCTACTCCCCATACCTATGCTGGAGACTGGCCCCAGAGGGCCGCAAGTATGGGAGCAAAGAGGGCCAACATGCTAGCTGGGTTTACATGAGAGGACAGGAAAGGGACACCACCAGGTCATCTCCAGTACCCAGAAGCATTCCCCAGTGTGCCAGGAGGCACAGGAAATAGGGAGGCTTGACTCCCCACAACTCAAACTCCTAGGGGGGATCCAGAGGCAAGGAATTAAGGTTGAGTGAGTGGAGTGTGGGAAAGGGGAAGAGATGCAAGAGAAGCGGGAAGAAGCCTTGGAAGGTGGGACCAGTGATGGTGATGCAGGCTAACCAGTCCTGATGCTCTCCCTGGGCCTGTAGCCTAGACCTGGGGACCACCTAGAAGGAGCAGAAATGAACTGAGATTAAAATGCCCTCGGTGGGAGAGGCTAGCCCAGTGAAAAAGTCCTAGAGGCTGAGTAAGACTTGGAACTCAAAAAGCTGAGTTGCTAGGAGGAAGCGGGGAAGCAAGGTTTTCCTGAGCCATGGGGTTTCAAGCACAGAAAGCAGAGGATGCGAGGCTAGGGTTGAAAAGGTACCCCAGGGACCCAGGGAGCAGAGCACGGACAGCAGGGGAAGAGACAAGGAACGGAAACAGGGATGCTGAGCATCTCCGCTTTGCCTGGGACCTTACCTGTACCAGTCAGCAGCAAGAGCCACAGGCACAGCTCACTTCGGGTCTGGCTGGCAACAGACAGTAGCTCAGTCCAAGCTGGAGTAAATAAGGCGTCGGATGCCGCAGAGCTACGTGACTCCCTGGGGGCGGGGCAGACACC